ATGAAAGGTCTGATTTCCTTTCTAAAATAATTGAATCAGTGGTGCCTTCTAAAATGATGAAACAACAGTCTTACCTTCGGAAAAGGACTTTAAACTCCTTAAAAGAACCGTAAAGTCACACTAATAGGTGGTTCTTGAGGAAACCAAGGACCACCGATGACAGCGTTTCATGCCTTTGCTCTCATAAAGAATATTAGGAGAAATTATCGGATCTCACAGTCATCACCAAATTGTTGACCATGATTACCTTTACTAAGCACGATTAACTGACAACTGATAACAGGAAAACTATTGTTCAAAAGATCACAAAGTAATTAGACGAATATGTTACAGTTGAAAGGTTTTATACTTGAAGAGGTATAAGGTGTAAAGAATTTGATGTTGCGAGTTTGTTTGAAAGAGGCTAAGGTGTGAGGATTTTAAAAGGATAAAGGAGGGGTTTTATACTAAACTAACAAATATTCACACAGAATATTATTAGTTTCATACAGAAACTACAAGAATTCACACAGAATTAAGATAATTAACCAAGATCACGAAGCAAGGTTAATTATAGACAGAATAATACTGAGATCACGAAGCAGGGTATTATTTATCAAAAAGTATTTCACTAAGAAATCAAAGGTTTCAAATTATTATTTGTTACAAAGACTTTTATTAATAATTTATTATATATGTCGAGTTCAGAATGTATTCAAGTTCTAACTGTCCTAACTCTAAGGGCAAAAGTTACCTCTATTTATATAAAATTGACATCCTTTCGTGAGACTATAATTACTAATCTCAAGAAAGCTCCGGAAATTTCCATAACATTCTGGGAGATTCTATGAGCTATTTTTGCTAGTGAGTTATTTGTGCTAGAGATATTTACCAGAGATGTCAACCAGAGATGTCAACCAAAGGTGTTAACCAGAGGTGTCGACCTCACGTTATAACAAAAATGATCTACATCTGTTACTCGTAAATAATAGTACTAATATATAATGTTATACAAATAAAAAAATCTATCTAATAAACTAATATAATAATGTTAATAAATAATATATATATAAATTAAGAAATCAGGCTAACAACAGGTATATGATATATTTATATAATTTAAAAAATATTTTTTAAAATTAATTTAATTTTTCTTATAATTTTATTTAAATGGAAAACAAATAAGTGATTTACATATATTCGATCAATTTATAAGTAATTTTATTTCCAATTAAATTTATAATTGATATAATTATTTTTTTTAATTTAAATATTTATTTAGGTTTTCTTGATAATGGTCAATATATTATTTTATATGTTACTAAACAACAACTTAAAACAATTAAAGAATTAACATATATTGAAATTGATATGATATTTAAAAGAATCCATGGTAAAACAAATGAATAGGAAGTTTCAGCATATTTATCCTATGTGCAAAAAAGTAAGTTGAATTTTATAAAATTTTATTAATTATATAATTTAATTAAATTATTATTTTAATTAATTTTTTTATTTGTTATTATTCAATATTAGCTTTGACTTTTGTTCGAGTATTTACAAATATTGAGACAGCTGAAACATATAAAAATTTATTTGAAGATTTATTCACATGTATTGAAAAGGATACTGATGAAACTTTTAATTTTTATCATATATATGGAAAAGGATTAGATTGTATTCTTGCAGATCAACATAAAGGACAAGCTTTAAGTAAATTATAATATTATATTATTAATTATTTTAATTATTTAATATTATTAATTTAATAATAATTTTTTTAAAGGTTTAGGACAATATCTGCATTCAAAATATTCAACCTTTAATCTAATAGAACATCTTCAACATATATATAAATTATGTCAAGTTCATTATAAAAGGTAAATATAACGGAATTTTAAAATTTTTTTTTGTTGTAAAATTATTTTTCAATTAATTATCTATTATTTTTTCAGAAATAATGATAAAAATAAATATTTATCTCAAGAAATTAAAGATACAATGTATTTAATTCCTACATTAAAAATATAAGATGAAATTTTAAGAGTATTAGATAATATACAATTTTGTGATAAACCAGGAACAGAAGGTAATTATTAAATAATTATTGATTGTAATTTAAATAAATACTAAAGTATTTGTTTTTTTATAGATTGAATAAAAGACAAACTTATTCCATAGGTATTGTCTGATATATTTGTTGCATTTACAAAAATGGATTATGTAATCTGAAATCAAACTTCAAATAATACAAATGTTGAAGAAAATGCCTATGCCAATGTAAATTATAATGGTTATAATCTTTCCTTTCTTGTTAGAATTATTAGATATTATTTATATTTATTTTATGTTTGATTAATTTTTTAAAATATAATATCTTATAATTTATAATTTATTTTTTAGAGGATGTAATTTTGATAAAAGAAGTTAGGAAAGTATATTTGTAAATCAACAATATAATGTTTCAGATTCTTATAGAAATAAATCATATTTGTCTAGATCAATTCAAGCTGAAAAATGAATTGGTAAAAATTATTATTATTATTTAATAAAATATTTATTTATTATTTATTTATTTATTTGTTTGTTTATTTATTTGTTTATTTATTTAAAAAAAAGAAGAAAATGTAAACAATCTGTATTATCTTTATCTTTGAATAAAACAAAAAAGCAAAAAAATAATTATAATGAAAATGATGAAAATTTACAAATTAATCAATAGTAAAATATAAATAGAGTTATAATTGAAAAATTAAATATACAAAAACAAATGAATGATTAGCTTAAAAGAGAAATTGCATTACTTAAAAAATGAAAACAGCTAATGAATTAATAACTATTATTATACACATTTTATTATGGGATTAATTAATAATGAACATATAATTATAGGATTAAAAATTATTTGATTAATAACAAACATATAAAATTAATAAATTCAATTTAAAATATTATTAATAATATGTGCGCCACATTTTTTTATTATTTAATTGTTTATATTTAGTAAAATACCTGTACTGTACGGTTTTTAATATAAAAATACCTGTACTGTACAGTTTTTTAACATAAAAAATTTCATACAGTACAATTTAAATATATATATAATAATAAGGTGTACTGTATTGTACAAATTTTGTGCAAATTTTATGTAAAATCGTACAGTACAAAATAGCATTTCGCACCGTACAGTTTATCGTCATACCTTAATATGACAAGTTTTTTGGGAGGTTCAAAAAATAATATAAAATTCTAACTCTTTATAATGTCTGAAAGTTATTTTTTTTTTAAATGAACAATTTTATTTAATAAAAGATTTATTGAGAATACAAAAAATAATTTAACTTTTAATTTAAAATCATTAGAATATATTAAAGATAATTAATCTAATTATATTGTACAATAAAAATTTCCAACGATAAAAAACTACTACCCCTTAAATAGCCACATAAAAAATATCGGCAATACTACTTCCGTAATGATTTCATTGTTTATTATAGATTCGCGATCTAAACAAACAAATAGAACAAACAATGAATCCCTGATATAAATTTAGCCCAAAATCTCAAAATTATACTAACCTCTGATTGAATTTGTTTGTGAATGTAGCACAAATAATCAACATATGACATTGCATTATTGTTCTCATCTTCAACCAATAAACTATTGAATTCAAGTTCTGAAGGATCTATTTGCATTCTAGCAATCTTCAAACTTAAATATTTGGGTCTCTGTGACTGTAAGTATGCTATAATGGAACGAATTTGCGTGGATGTTGGATTTTCAAGAACGGGAAGATTGATCTAATATATAATTTAATAAAAAATAAATAACCTTTTTTTCGGGAAAAAAAAACTATGATGAAAAAAATACATCAACACACGTACAATTTTGGGGTCTATTTGCTCAACAGAATCAACTCCAAATACATTGCGAACAAAATCAGGTGAGATTTGTCTACCTAACCAAAATATTAATGTCTGCCCATTTTCTTTAAGGAAAATATTTTATTAATATAAAAATTCATTATCTATATGACTTAAATTAATCGGAAATTAACAAACCTAAAAGATATGCGCCATCATGTTCAAGCCTAGCATAAGAAACACGTATTAATGGTGGTAACTTGACTCTACCATTTTGATCTGGATGCCCAACCTTAAAATGAAAATAGTTAAAATATTCAATCATATTGGAAAATTTCCACATAAATTGTTCATATTCGGTCTTTAACTAACCTGATCAGAAAGGTTATGCACAGGAAAAAGTCTCGGATAAAACAAGACAATACTTTCTGAAACTCCAACGCTTTTTATTAGACGCATGTAATGTACTCGTACATCACTGGTTAAATTATTTCCTATAAATTATTCAACATTAATTACAATAACTAGAAATTTGCAAATGAACCATCGTAGTTATATCTTACCAACACGAAGTGCTTTAGATTTTAACATCGTCAAAGCATATAAAGGAAATAATTTGAAAGCTTCGGGAAGAATTAGCTGACCAGAAGAGCTTTGGGATGCGCAGTATCTTCTGTATGCCATCAGTATTTTAACACACTTATCTGTTAAATGATCGCGAATATCCCGCAGTGGTTTTGTTATGGTATTTGACACAGCTTTTAAAAAAAATCAATTGATCAGCAATTGATAAATTAATTAATAAGAGACCTGACGAATTAAAGTTAATTTATACCTTGCTTAGCCAAGAAATTGACTGTTGTATCCATCTCTGCATGTCTAAACACATTGCCCAAAAGCTGCGTAACTGTCACACTCAAATTGTGGGTTCGCACTCTACGCTGACCACTTGAAGTTGTATATAGAAGAGCGCATTGAATATAGGCATCCGTTTTTTCATCAAGCTTACCATCATACTTAAGTAAAGCGCCAAAGGCTTTGTCACTGTCAATTCCTGCAAGTTCTAAATCTGTCGTGTTTCGCATATTGAAGTTACCAAAATGATCCGTAACTTTTAGACCTAAAATTATTAAGTGAGAAAAAAACGTGAAAATGGGTCAAATAATTAGATATTCCAGAAATAATAATTGCTTAATTAAAAGCCAAACCATTTGAACACCGAATCCTCATAAGTGCATTATATCCAAATTCTCTAGTAAGATTATGTTTCAATTCATATGCAAATTTTTCACCATCTTTTTGGGCATCAAAGTTGGGATAATAATAAGTTTCGCCTCCAGTCAAGCATGATAATAATCCTATATTTATCGAAATTATATGAAATTAAATATATAAGTTTACAAAAGGTTTTGAAATCCAAGAAATAATTAATATAGTACAAAAAAATTTTACCAATAGTTGCGATATCAACATATGTATTTGGGAATAAAAATAAATCAATACAAATGCCGGAATCAACACAATTGGTGGCTAGCGTTTTGTAATAATTATCTTGAGGACTAAACAATGATCTTTCTTTGTCAGTATTATATATTTTAGGATCCTCCCGCTGCTTAATAGAACCTGGACCAAATGTCGGAAGAGCTGTTTGAAATAATAAAAGCTTTCCGCCTGTCTCATTCTATTAAATAATAATACGATAAACTAAATTATTATTTATACAGGTTACACAGATACAACATTCCGTGTAAAATAACATTTTAAAATGCTGCTGACCATACCAAAGCCATATGTGTTGCTTGAACAACAGCTCCCAGTACAGGATCTATTGCTTTATTATCAACAAACATTGTCGGTAAAGATTCCAAAAGTCCTTCTATAACAGTTCTAAAAAAATGAATTAAATATTAAAATATTAAAGAAAATTGAACTTTTTAAGGAAAAAAACCAAAACTTGAATTTTACCTCGATTCTATTGGATCAACCAAAAGTCCGGAATTCAATGGAACAAAAACATCATTGATATCAGAAACAACTAACATTTGAGCTTGTTCAAGTTGTGGCTAAATGAGAATATGAATCGATTAATGTTGGCTTAAACTAAAATTCTTTAACATAAATAAAGAATTGATACCTGTAAATTATAAAAATGAATGTCTTTGTCGAATGTAATGATACCAATTTTACCACCTCTTGAAATGTTATTAGGAGAATTATATAGAATGTCACGAATAGTTTCCACACATTTAGCGAGCATCCCGCTCTTAATGGAATTCCAAGATACATCAATAGCAAAAACGTATGATAACGGAGCAGGTGGTTTTGCCCAATATTCCTAGACAAATTTGGGTTATAATAATGATTGAATTTCGATTATACATAATTATACTATTTTATATTTGATTGTTTATTTCCTTTTTGTTTACCTGAGGGACTGTGAATTCCACTGTTCCATATTTCAGTTCGGGTCGTTGATCTATATCTGCCCGCCTGCCGTTCATATCCAAAATGCAGAAATATTCGGGAGGAACTTGAAATAAATAATTTAAAATGGTAAGCCGTAAAATAAAATAAAAATAAAATAAAAAAAAAATTTTGTGGATTAAAATGATTACAAAATGAGAAACAATACCTTCATTAGAGAATGAACACATATTGCAAACAAATTTCTTTCCACCTTCCACGAAAATTACGAAAGGGTTGATATATGCCTTGCACCGAAGACAACGAACTGGTCCTTGTTCTTGAAGATCAACAAGTTCAATTTGACCCTAATAAGTTATTTTTTTTAAAAAAAAAAAAAAAACAAAAAAACTTTAATTAAATTTAATTTATACAGAAGGAGGTCTACATATACTATATACATAAGCCAATAAAAATTATAAATCAGACCTCGCCATCCCTTAATTTGGTTAAAGGTTGTAAAATAACCCCTAGAGGTAAATGAGATGTTTGAAGAAGTTCTTCGGTGTGTGGTATAGAATATAATGTCAACCTCATAAACCGGGGATTAGAGATACCTGCATTTGAAATCGATAGAATCAATAGAGAATAGGGAATCAATAGAAATTAGAAATTAAAATTAACTCCGAATAAATATAAAATTAAATAATTACCTTCATCAATGGCTCTGAAATCAGTACTTGCCAAAGGTACAGTAGATTTGGAACATGTCATATAAACTTGTTCCTCAAATATACGTTGATCTTGTTCTTGAACAACAACTGGTGACGGGATTTGATTGGGATCAATTCGGGATCTAGGAGCATTTGGAAGAACAGGACGGGGCATGGTTTGAGGTTGTTGATTTGGTACAGATGTAGGTTGCATATACTGAGGTTGATGTAAAATTGGTTGATTCAAAGGGGTTTGAGGGACCATTGGAGAATACATTTGTGATTGTTCCGGTTGTGATACATTATTATTATTATTATTATTATTATTATTATTAACTTGAGGAGGAGGTTGAGGGTAAATGTTTGAAGAATTATTAAGATTTGAACTTGGATGATAAGCTCGTTTTGGACGATTTTGCTTAGAGGGTTTGGAATGTTGCTAGTAAGTAGAATGTGTGGAAATATTAATGTTAAAATAAAGTTTAAAAAAAATAATAATAATAAATAAATAAAATAGATTTACAAAAATTTTTTGGACTGATAAAATACATTACATCAAGCTGAGGTTGATCCTGAATCCCTATATTATTCATTTGATTTACCATATTATCAATATCAACTCCTTGTGGCGGTGAACGCATTGGTCCCGGTGGACTTAAAGGTCTAGTGGCATATTGAGAGGTTGTTGATAAAGGGGGAATTGTGGGTTGTGAATATACTGGTGGAACCATGTGAGGCCTTGATCCCGGAAAGCCTGTAGAGAAAGTATTGCTTTGTGGTGTTTGAATCGCTGCAATAGTTGTAGGTGATTGACCTTGTAATGTGGGTCTGGAAACTGAATGAATAATAAAAATAAGATAAATAATACATTTAGATCCATTATTGCGAATGAAAATTTTCTGATTTAGATGAATTAGTCGATATCAAGTTGTTTAATAATTCTATCTCTGAAAGGAACTAATCCTCGAATAAATTAGCGCAATATTTCTGGAGGAAAAAAATAAAACCTGGAATCGGCGGTCTTGAAAAGCCTGGTGCTGCACCATTTTGAGGGGGCCGTTGACTGGGTGGAAAGATAAGGGATCTAGAATTATTTTGAGGTACAGTGCTTGGTGAGGAAGGACGAACTGCTTGCGCGTTGTGAATTCCGACTGGTCGCCAATTTTGCTGTATCAAAGATGATGCAGCGTTAGACGTCGAAGGTGATTGTGGTTGAGGTGGGTTGGAAATAGGACGTTGTGCGGATTGTTGAGGGTTAGGAGGGGGTGGTTGCGCATACATTTCGTTTTAAACAATTATTACAATTAAATATTTTAGAATTACGATTTGTGATTTTAAAAATTGAAATTTTCGAGATTAAAAAAGTGTAAATTGGATAAATTTGTCGGTTTTTTATTTGCTAATGAGGACCATTTTTACCATTTTTACTGTTAAAGAAAGGGTTGAATATAATTGGCTGAACATCTTTTTCCTATGTATCTGATCTAACACATCTTTCCTTGGTTTAAAGACACTTTTATCAGGTATTCATAGACTCGTTGCTTAGCTACAAAAGTGTAAAAAGTGCCTTTTATGTGTTTATATATTAAACGCTGGAACGGGGAAGGTAAAATACAATCTTTAGGACACAGAGCTTATGATATCAAGTCCATGCTCAGAAATCATGACACTGCCATCTCAACGTGAATCTTTTATTTATGCCAAGTTCAATACCTCCTCAGTTTCTAAACCACTGCCTAATTTCAGACATTGGCTCTGGTATTAATTTCAAGAAGCCTGAACTGGTAAAGAAGTTGTTGTTCACAGAGACAAGTTGTGTCAGTTTACCTTTGATCCTCTCAAAGTTTAATTTCAAGCTCAATGGAAACTATTTCAAGATATCCTTGTTATTAATACAGTTTTTATCTACTAATCACAATGAAAGTGTTTTTCTAAATGGAAACAAGACAAAAAGCAAAAAAATACAAGTGCAAACAATATAAGATAGATTTAATATAATTATTGAAAATACAAATATATCTCAATTCCCTTTAGAAGATCTATTATCTGATGTAATTACATGGATGCAGTAATTAAGTAATAAATTATATTATATAATTAAAATATAATTAAATATTACTAAAATTTGTACAGTACAGTTGGTATTCATAACAAGTTGAATCAAATCAAATCAAGTTAATTTACAGTTATGAGTACTTAAATTCTGAATTGAGTTTAAGATATGATTTTAACTTTCAAATTAAAGTTATAATATAACTTTAATTTTCAAATTGATTTTAGAGTATAATTCTAATTTTCAAATATAATTCTATTTTTCAAATTAGTTTAAAATAAAAAGAAAATCTATTTCTTATTTAGATGAATTTATTCTTACAATTTTTTATTATTATCACATAGTATTATACTATTTGAATTATACATGTTTTCAAAATTGATCTTGAATTTTTGAAATATTTTGTTTTTTGAAATTTACTTAAAATTGTTTTATATGTGAAATTAAAAATATTCAATTAAGTGTATTTTTAATTAAAAAATTTATTTAAATAATCAAAAAATTTTAAATCTTAAATAAAATAATTTTTTTTTATAAAAAAAATTATTTTGTCTTTTTTTTTTTTAATATTAATTTTAGATATACAGTATATATTATACATGTCATCAAATTATTGAATTGAATAAAAAATTGAAAAAATTGAAATAAAATTTCTATTTTTAAATAGTAAATTGATATAATTATTAAGTTATATATGATTAAAAATTGAATAATTAAATAAAATACAGGTCAAACACAAAAAAATATATTGGGAAATTTTTTCTAATGAAAACCTTTGAAAGTTAATGTTAACATAAGTATTTCACTGTTTTTCGATATGTTATCCTTTGAAAGTCTTTACTAACCTTCGAAGGTTATTAATTTTGATATTTTCATGTGACAAAATTTTGTGAATATTATTATTTTTGTAGTAAATTCATATCAATAACCTTCGAAGATTATCAATTTTGATATTTTCATATATAAAATTTATGAATATTATCATTTTCATAATAAATTTGTATCGATAACTTTTGAAGGTTATCAATTTTGATATCTTCATATATGAAATTTTGTAAATACTATTATTTTCATAGTAATTTTGTATTAATAATCTTTGTTTATGTTAGATATTCATAATATATCATTTTGATAGTCATCACTTGCATTTATATTGTTACAATTTTAATCGATATTACTATATATGCTACCCAAATTCCAAATTAATATGGCATTATGACTATTAAAATATGTCAAAATTATTTGAAATCTGAGAATCAAAATATCCCAAATTCCAAATTATTTTTGGCATCTCAAATTATTTTTGACATTCCAAATTATTTTTGATATCCCAAATTATTTTTGATATCCCAAATTATTTTTGACATTCCAAATTATTTTTGGTTTTCCAAATATTTGAAATATGAAAAATTATTTGAGGGAAAAAAAAAACTATTTTAATTGATGCAACATATATATTCGAGTTTAAAATAAACTCGAATATATATGCATTTTAAACTCTAATATATATACTATACTTGCACGCAAAATTATTTTGGAGTCCCGAAATTATAATTTTGAGGAAAAAAGTTGAAATAGTTTTTCATAGAAGACGAAATTATTTTACTTAAAACCTGAAATTTTTTGACCACCCAGATTTATTCTTTGATTAAAGATACATATAACTAGGTACTTTTTTTACTTCTATATATAAAATAGATTTTGCATAAATCTCAAAAAGTCAAAATACCTCAAAAATCCAAAATCAATTTTGGGAACATGTATAATAAATACATTAATCTTCTTTTTCAAACGTATATATATTCGAGTCTATTTTTTTAAACTCGAATATATATGCTATTTAAATATTTTTTTTATTTTTTTTAACTTTTTTTTTTAAACACATATATATTCGAGCTTATTTTTTCGAATGTATATATATTCGAGCTTATTTTTTTGAACGTATATATATTTGAGTCTATTTTTTGAGCACATATATATTTGAGTCTATTTTTTAGATTTTGAGTTTTATTTAAGGTAACTTTGAATTTAATATACATAGTCTTGAGCTTTATTTTAAAGTAATTCTGAGTTAACCTATGTAGTCATGAACTTTATTTAAAGTAAATCGAAATCAATATTACGTAGTCTTGAGCTTTATTTAAGATAAATCGAAATCTATATCATATAGTTTTAAATTTTATTTGAAGGTAACTTAAGTTTAACATGTGTAGTTTTGAGCTTTATTTTAAAGTAATCTCAAGCTAACCTATGTAGTCATGAGTTTTATTTAAGATAAATCAGAATCAATACTACGTAGTTTTGAGTTTTATTTAAGTTAAATCAGAATCAATACTACATAGTCTTGAACTTTATTTGAAGGTAACTTAAGTTTAACATATGTAATCTTGAGTTTTATTTTAAAGTAATCCCAAGTTAACCTATGTAGTCATGAGCTTTATTTAAGATAAATCGGAATCAATATTACATAGTCTTAAGCTTTATTTAAGGTAAATTAGAATCTATATCACATAGTCTTGAGTTTTATTTAAGTTAAATCAGAATCTATATCACATACACTAGTCAAAATAGAGAATATCAAACACCTATCGTATGTCTATCGGGAGTAAAGCTTCTCATAGGCCGAGCCGAGCCGAGCCTCATAAAGCTCAGGCCGAGCTGAGCCCAAAAGTCTTAGGCTCAGCTCAAGCCTGAGTTTATAAGTTA